ATTTATTTATTTTAGCGTCTGAGGCTGGGTGTGAGATCATTTTAACGAGTTATAGAGTCTGATGGCCGTGGGTAGGAAAGATCTTCTGTACATCTCATTTATACGTGTAAAGTAAGACTTTCATTGCATAATGGAACTGACTATTCACTATGCATATGGCAAATGAAGTCTTGAATCTTGAGTCTTATTCGTGTAATTAGTATGAAGTCTTTTCCTTTGTTGGCAGAAATGTGTAGCAGGATGCCCACAGGGTACGTGATGAGAGCTCACTGTACACATGACCTGAACTATTTCTCAGTCAGTCCCTGGACCAGGAATCGTGCGCCCAGGCATCCGTACGCCCCAGCATGCACCTGCAGGGGAATGTTTAACAGCACAGGTGGAGGTCAGAGGAACAGAGCCCCAGTGGATTATGGGGGGTGTCTGGTTTCCTCATTCATACTCACCCAGGCTGTTTATATGAAAAGCGTCTGTCCCACTATTCGCCTTTTATTAGTGACTTGCAAAATTTTCTGTGAGGGCCTTCAGATGCAGAGAAGGCCATGTCAGTGCAGCTCCGTCCCCAACTGGAGATCAGCAGGGCTGAAAGTCGGCAGCGGCTCGTGATGTTTATACCTTCCAGCAGGTACCGCTGCAGTGCAGGCTGGCTTTCGCAGAGCAGAAGGGCCACCCGCCGGTACACTTTGTGCCCTGCAGAATGGGCTCACTGGGGCCCGGCGATGCGGCTTGCGGGAAGCCCGGATCTCACACCGCTGCTCTGCCGCGCGGACGCCAGGCTGCCCCCCATGCCTGAGCCGTTACTAGGGAAACCCCCCCCCCCACCCGGCCCCCTTCACCCAGCATCTGAAAACAATTTGGCTGTTAATGAGAATTTATTTTGTGCGAAACGGTGGGAAACTGTGGTGAGGAAAGAGAGAGAGAGAGAGAGAGAGAGAGAGAGATATCCCAGGGAAAAAAAGAAACGCAGGAAGGAAGGCGTGAGGGCCGAACTGTTCCATGCGTGTGTCCCGGCCGGCACTGACGGACAGCGGGGATAGAACAGCCGCTCTGCATTCCAGAACCTCTACGTCAAGATGAATATCTATGTGTTGCTCATAAAGGACTTACTATATTGTTGCCGCTATTGTTCTAAAATCCAAGTTATATATTCCTGATATATATTTAAATCAATATTACATATTCCTGCCAAAAGTACTGTATTATTTAGAATATTTACTTTATTAGTTTGAGTTCCCCCACTGCTGTTTTCACATTACTGTTCACTCTCAAAAATCTAAGGCATAGGCCTCTTGATAACATAACTCCCTGTCTGGCTGTTCAGCAGGATTCTGCAAACTGCAGAAGATACTCATGGTCTTATTCTGCACGCTGGAAATCTTCAGAGGCACCATCCCCAGGTCTCCAAGGTCCCGAGGGACGTCTCCAGATGTAGCTGTCACCCAGCTTGCGATCCGCTGTGTCAGCAGCCCGTCTTTCGTCTTCTGGACACGTTACTCTCACTGTCTGAGGTTCTCCCCTTCATGGAGCTGGTTATGGTTCC